TCTACCAATTATTTTTCTTCCTTTTATTGAAATTGAAATGATAATTATAAAAATGAAAAATATTTGAAAATCAATATTCGAGGATTTTTACTCTTTTGAAATTCGAATTTTTATTTCTTTTTAAAAAAACACGACAAATTGAAGGGGAAAATTTTTTTTCATTTTTTTTATCGCGAGAACCAGTGCTTTTTAGAATATTTCTATATTATAATTAATATTATATATAATATATAATATCTAGAAAAAAAAACAACTTGTAGGTGGCGTAGAAAACAAAAAATATTTGCGATTAAAAATAAATTTGTTCTTTTTCTTTCTAAACGGGTGGAAAAATAATTTTTTTTTTTTTATTATTATTATTATTTATTAAAGCTGTGATGGAATCGACGAATGGTCTTTTGTTTCCAATAAAATTTCTTTGCGCAGGAAAAATAACTTGGCACCGGACGAGGAGACATCAATGGACGTCTTGCTGGAAAGAAAATTTTTTTTTTTTTAATTTAATTTAATTCAAATCTTTTTTTTTTTCCACATCGATACGGCCCACAATTTTTCCAATTTGTATGAATTTTTTTTTTCATTTTACAAAAAAAAATAATTTTTTTTATTTAGTTATATGAATAATTTTCTTTTTTTTTACAAAAAATTTCTTTATTATTTTATTATTAATTTCCATTTTTTTTTACAAATGTAAATTATAATATTATTAATTTGAATTATTTTTATTATTTTCAATTATTTCCATTATTTTCAATTATTTCCATTATTTTCAATTATTATTATTTTTTTTTTTATTATTTTCAATCATTTTTATTATTTTCGATTATTTTTATTATTTCCAATTATTTCCATTATTTTCAATTATTTTTTTTTTATTATTATTTTCAATCACTTTTTTTTCGATTATTTTTATTATTTTTAATGGTATTATTATTATAATTTCAATTACTTTGTTATTAATTAAAATGATCAATTTCTATTATTAATTTCAATTAATTTATATGTGTGTGTGTTTTTTTTTTTTTTTGTTAAGAATTTATGAAAAATTGAAAAAGTTTGTGGGTAATTTTTTTTTACATTATTCACTGATTTATTATTATTATTATTCATTAAAATAACAAATTTCCGAAAATTTTTTGGAATATTGTAAAATTTTCTATATGGAAATTTGAATTTTTTTTCGACATGCTACCTGCAAGTTGTTTTCTTTATAAAAAAAAAAAAAAATTCTAGAAGAGAATTTTTCCATTCGTTGATGTAACAATAATAATTAAAAAAAAATGATGATGCGATTTGTTCAATGAAGAAAAAAAAACGTTATTTCAATGAGAAATAAAATTTTTAATTATTGCAACAAGAAAAAATATTTATATATGTTCAAGATGAAATTTCAATTCAATGATTTGAATTTATATTTGAATTTTAATTGACTTTATTTGTAATAATTTACAAATTAATTGAAGAATTAATTAATTTAAGAACTTTTTTTCAAATTTTATTTATTTATCATCGAATTCTCTCTTATTATCAAATAACATATAAATTCAAATTTTGAAAATTCGAATTCGAATTTATTCGAAGATTTACTTTTTCTAGTATAAATTCAAATTTTGAAAATTCGAATTCGAATTTATTCGAAGAAAATTTATTCGTAAAAAATAATTTCTCTTTATATATTCAAAAAAAAAATTTTTTTCAATAATTAAAATATTTTTAAAAATTTCTTAACCTTTTTTTTACAAATAAAGAAATTATTAAAAAACAAAAACTAAAAAAGGAAATTCAAATCGTTCAATTGAATTACAAAAATATAATTATTAACCAAAAAAGAAAGAAACAAACAAAAACAAAAAAAATTGCGAAAGAAAAGAAAAAAAATGAAATGCGAATAAACTGAAAGATGCAGAAATAGTTTTTTTTTTTCTAGTTTCAAGTTTGTTGAAAAAAAAGGACACAAATACGTAAATACGTATATGTAGATTCTTTAATCTTTGTATTAATTAATCATCGCAGGTCCGACGAGTTAGTCAATATATTTACATTTTACAGATTTAAAAAAAAGAAGAAAGAAAGAAATAAATAATAATAATTGAGATATATAAATATATATATCTAATGCGTGGTTAAATAATAATAATAATATATATATATATAAATATTAAATATAACGATAATTCTCTCGCAAGTGGCGAATTTATAATTATAATTATATAATAGGTTAGGGATCAGGGAAAAAATATTGTAGGAATTGCATCGGTTCGCCTCGAAAATTCAAAAAAAGAATAACAAAAATATGTGTGTGTGTAAAAAAAAAAAGAAACAAAACAAAAAAAGTGACAAAAATAATTGCGAAATCGTCGTGATAAGGAAATAAATAGTTTTTTGAATTCGACATACATAAAATTTCACTGAAAAAAAATTTAAAAAAAAACCACCTTTTTTTAATGATGATGATAGTGGAAAAAAAAATTAAGGTGGTTTTTTGCGTGTGTTTTTTTATGTGGTCGCAATTACTTGGCTGTGTGTGCTAGGATACATCATGATTCATGTTCCATCATCTCCATCACCTGACTCACGCATAAATAAAATATTTACAAAAAAAAATTTTTAAAATGATATGATAGTCTCCATCGAATCTCTATAATAGAGTTGTACACGAGACGCGTTACCAGAATAGAGAATTTGTTTTTTCAAATAAAAGAAATTAAATTTTTTTTTTTGCTAAAAACAAAAACAAAACAAACGGTTTTTCCAAGAAAAAATATTTTTTTCGCTAAAAAAAAATTGTATTTTTCCAAAAGAAAATATCTTTTTTGCTAAAAAAAAAAATTGGTTTTTACCAAAATAAAAAAGGGTTCTACAAAAGAAAAGGTTTTTTTACTAAAAGAAAATATTTTTTATTTGCTAAGAAAATGATTTTTACTAAAAAAAAAAAATTTATTTTTGCCAAAAAAAAATAGGTTTTTTTTTTTACCAAAAGAAAATATTTTATTTGCAAAAAAAAATACTTTATTTGCAAAAAAATACTTTATTTGCAAAAAGAAAGGTTTTTGTTAAAAAAAAAATATTTTATTTGCTAAAAAAAGGTATTTTTACTAAAAGAAAATATTTATTTTTTTAGTAAAAAATAGAATAATTTTGCTAAAAAAAAATATTTTATTTGCTAAAAAAAGGTATTTTTACTAAAAGAAAATATTTTTTTTTTTTAGTAAAAAATAGAATAATTTTGCTAAAAAAAAATATTTTATTTACTAAAAAAGAGATGTTTTTTTTTACTAAAAAAAATTATTATTGTCAAAACGATGGATTTTTGCACAAAAGAAAATAAGGGGCTTATGTAATTCAAAACAAAAAGAATACAATTTTTTTTAGCAAAAAAAAAAAATTATTCTTTTCAAAATGAAAAAAAAAAAAATTATAATCCAATGAGAATTTTGAAAATGAATTATTATATAATATTAATACTCTATTAAAATTGCTTTAGTGTGCCATATTCTGAGACAAGAAAAAGAAAGAAAAAAAAATAATATTATTACACTCTTGGCCCTTGTCTATTGTTAACGTTTGAATTATCGATAAATGTGCGTTATTAATTCTTTTTTTTTTTTTTTTTTTTTTCTCTCCACGATGTACGGGCGATTTTCTCTCTCTATATAACGGAAAATGTAAGTTTATGGGAAAGTGGAGATGGAGCTTTTTCCAATTTTTTCAAACTTTCACTCACTTTTTTTTTGGTTTTGTTTTTTAAATTTCTATTTATCGAAAAAAAAATGGGGTTTATCGTTTATCGTTCATTTCCAGTGCTGAACAATTTTTTTTTTTAAATTGACGGTTTTTTTTTTTCCTTTTTTTCGATTTTTACAATTAATAATGAATAATTTTCTTTTTTGTTTGCTTTTAATTGTAATTATAATAATAATTATTATTATTATTGTTATTATTATAATTATTTTTTGGCACTAATTTTTTTTGTAACAATAAATTTATATTTCTAAATAAAAAATTTCAAATTTTTAATATCAAAATTTAAATTTAAAAAAACTAGAAATAAAAAACATAAGCCAAATAAATACTTTTTTTTTCGAATAATTTTTACATTTTTTTTTTGTTTTTTCCAATAATTTTTCTTCCTTTTTTTTTTTTCTAACGGTAATTTTTTTTTCATTTTTTTATTTTTCTACTTTTTTTTCGGTTTCAAACAAAGTTTTTTTGTTTTTTTTGCTTTTGACAAGGAAACAATTTTTTGGACTGGAATTTTTTTTTTTTTTAACTGAATAGAAAATTTATTTGTTATTTTTTTTTTTTTTTAAGTTCAGCACTGATTCATTGACATTTTGATTTTTTTTTTTTCTTTAAATCTTTCGTCCCACTAAACTTCTCTGCTCAGTGATCGTTTGATGCAAAGAAAAAAGAACAAAAAAAAAAAAAAAAAAATGAAATTCAAATGTGATCCCGTACCAATTTTTTTTTTCTCTGAAAATTGCGAAAATAGTATAGAGACAAAATAAATAACGATGAATGCGGATGACATTTGAATTTTTAGAGACGAGAAAAATAAAAAAAATTGCAAAAATTTTTTTTTTATATAAGACAAAAATTCGAAAGAGAATTTTTTCGTTTTTTTTTTGCAAATATTTTCTTTTTTTATTTTACTATATTAAAAGATTTTAATGTCAAAAAATTTTACTTTTAAACCATTTTTTTTACAAAATAATTCCAAAAAAAACGATTTAGAAATTTTTTAAATTCTTTTATTTCAAATTTTGTAATATTTTAAATTAAAAAAATTACAGAAAATATAAAAAATATTTTAAAAAACTAAAATTGGAGAAAAAAATTTTGTTTTTAAAAATTGAGACTTGAAAAGTAAAAAAAAAATTAAAAACAATATTTATGAAAAAAAAAAAAAAAAATACAAATAAATAAAATTTCCCAAATTTATTTTTTTTTGACTCCACTTAACGAATTGCTTTGACGAGAGAGACAATTTTAATTTGCAGCGATCTGGACTCTTCGTTTTCCCATGAACTGAATTTCAATTATTCCAATGAAGACGAAATTTTGAAGATTTATTATTTACCCGCCTGTACATCGAGACACCAACCGGATTAAAACGATATATATATATATCTATAATAATAATAATAAAGTAGTTTTTTAATTGTTTTTCTTTTCTCATAAAAAAAATACAAAACGAGAAATGAAAATCTTTGTTTTTTTTTTTAGTTTTTAATTTATAAGAAAGAAAAAAAACCTCTATGTGACTTTTGCCAATATATATTTAATAAAATCAAATGTTAAAAAAATTGTCATTTTTTAATGACAGTTTTTGAATATAATTGTACAGAAAAAAAAGATAAAGAAATAGAAAAAAAAGAAAGAGAAAGGAATTTATTTCAAGTAAAAAAAAAAAAAAAAAATGGTGCTTTCGAAATACCTCTAATATTGCAAAGACAGGATTTAAATTATTATTATTATTGTTTTGTTTACAAAAATTTTATTTAACGCTCAATTTTTTTTTTTTTTTTTTTTATTCAGATATTTATAATTTATAATAGAATTATTAATTTCAGATTATTATTATTATAATTAGTAGATAAAATATTTAATGTATAAAAAAAAAAGACAATTGATCGGAAAATTGATCAAAATAGAGAGGAAAAAATTTTTTTTTGAAATTTTAATTTTTTTTTTTCGATTGACGAATATAATAAAAATCGACTTCGGTTGTAAATAACGTATAATCAAACGTTAAACTAGTTGAGAAACTTCCATTAGAAAAAAAAGTGTCGCGTATTCACAAAAAATATATATATATATATTGAAAAATCATCATATATTATAGACGTGTATAAAAAAATAAAAGTCACAAAGAATTATTATAGAGAATTATATTGTATTGACAATAGAGCGAAAAAAGTTGAATTTAGTTTTTTTCGGAAAAAAAAAATAAAAAAAAACTAAAATCGACTTTTAATCTGCACGAATTGCACTTTGAAAATAAAAAAAAAAAAATTAATTAATTAATTAAATATTAAACTAAGCGACTTCATACAAGCTCTGTATTGGAGGGGGAAAAGTTGTTATATTGTTGTGTGCGATGACGCCGCGTATATATTTATATTTACAAAAAAAAAAAAAACTTGTATTAAAATGAAAGGAAAAAATTTATATACATTTTAAGGATCATTGATATCGCATTTTTTTTTTCTCTCATTTCATTTTACACGCGAATCCGAACTTTTTTCCCTTTGGTCAATCTTTCATTTGAGACAATCATTTTTTGAAGAAAAAAAAAAAAAAAATTTTTTTTTACGAGAAAAAATGCGAGAAAAAAAAGGAATATTTCTTAAAATTAAAAAAACAAAGCAATTTTTTCGAATTTAAAAGCAAAAAAAAAAAAAAACAAATTGAATCAATTTTTATTAGCAAAATTGAATTTTGAAAAAGGGCAATTTTTTCAAATTCAATTTATTTGACAAAAAAAAATATTTAATCAATTTTTTTTTTTGGCAAATTAATTAAATTTTGGAATAAAAAGAAATTTTTTCTGAATTTAGAGAAGAAAAAAAAATTGAATTCATTTGACAAAAATAAAATTGATTTTTTTTTCGGCAAATTGATTCAATTTTGAAAACAAAGCAATTTTTTTGGATTAAAAAAAAAATTGAATTCGTTTTTGGCAAATTTTTTCAATTTTGAAAATGAAGCGAAATTTAATTTCGAATATAAAAGCAAAAAAAAAAACAAATTGAATCAATTTTTATTAGCAAAATTCAATTTTTTCGAATTGAATAAAAATTGAATTTATTTGACAAAAAAAAAAAAATTTAATCAATTTTTTTTTTTGGCAAATTGATTAAATTTTGGAATAAAAAGAAATTTTTTCGAATTTAGAGCAGAAAAAAAATTGAATCCATTTGGCAAAAATAAAATTGATTTTTTTTCGGCAAATTGATTCAATTTTGAAAACGAAGCAATTTTTTCGAAATAAAAAAAAAAATTGAATTCTTTTTTGGCAAATTTATTCAATTTTGAAAATGAAGCGAAATTTTTTCGAAATTAAAAGCAAAAAAAAAACAAATTGAATTAATTTTTATTAGCAAAATTCAATTTTTTCGAATTGAATAAAAATTGAATTTATTTGACAAAAAAAAAAATTTAATCAATTTTTTTTTTTGGCAAATTGATTAAATTTTGGAATAAAAAAAAATTTTCTCGAATTAAAAACGGAAAAAATTGAATTAGTTTGTTAAAAAAAAATATTTGCAACAAAAAGCAATTTTAGAAGATAAAGTACATTTTTCGGAAACAAAAAAAAATTTTTTTTTTGAATTCGCCAAAAACAAAAAATAGATTTTCAATTTTGAAAAAAAATTTGCAATTTTCTCGAATTAATAACGAAAAAAAATTGAATCAATTTTCTAAAAATATTTCAAATAAAAACCAATTTTTTTCGAATTAAAAAATCAATTTCCAAAAAAAACTGAATTTTCAAAAAAAAAAATTTTGCAGCAAAAAAAACGTTTTTTTTTTGGAAAAAAATTTCTCTCGCATTTTTCCGACAAAACGACGTATAAAGAAAAGGGGAAAAAAAAAGAATCTAGACTATAAAACGTAAATCAGGGTAAATTTTTTTTTTTTTAGGGGAAAAATTCAAAAAAAAATTAAATTTTCTCCCACAAAAACAAATAAAGATTGACTATTTGGGAAATTGTGTCAAAAAAAAAAAAAAAAAAAATTCTCTCGTACAATCCAGATTCCAAAGAAAAAGGAAAATTTTTCCTTAAAGTGAAAATGGAAAATTTTTCTCTTCACAAAAGGAAAAAAAAATCATTCATTGTCATTTTAATTTTTTCGCAAAATCAATCAGGTGGAAAGAATTTGAATTCTATTCCAGATTTAATTTTTTCATTCACAATAAATTCATCCCTAGAAAATATTTTCCCAAAAAAAAATATCTGGAATATTTTTCATATCAGTGAGAGAGAGAGAGAGAGAGAGAGAAAAATACTTGAACCACCTGATATTTATCTTCAATGTATAATCAGGACATTTGTTATTTATATATATATATATATATAATATATAAAAAAAGCGGTTTAAGATTGTAAAAAAAAAAAAAATGTACTATTGTAATAATGTTATTTCGTCGCAAGTGAGAGTTAGACTTTAGAATATTATTATTGAATATGGTATATGCATATATATGTTATTTTCGATAATAGATTTGTAAAAATCTGAATGACGGCGATGATGATGATGATGATGAGATGATGATGATGATGATGATGAAATGATGACAAGATCGTTGTTTAATAACAGAATTGATGAAAAAAGGCAAAAAAAAAAAAAGATAATGATGAAAAAAAAAACTGATTAGTGAAAAATTTAAATTAATTAAAAAAAATCGGCTGTTGCAACAAAAAATAAATAATTTAGCAGCCATTTCTTTGGGAAAATAATAGAATATAGAGAGATAAAAAAAATAATAAAAAAAAAAAAAAAAAATGAAAAAAAAAAATAAAAATATTAAGTACCTTGTTGAGTATAAGTAGAATTTATTCGCTAAGTCATGCGTGTGCACCAATAATGTACACAGGGCATAGTTTAACACTCGTGTACCTCTATCACTCACATTATTTACTTATATATATATATATATAAATATATATATATATTTAAAAAAAAAATAGACAGATTGATGATAAAAACAAAATCACAGAAAAAAAAAGAAATTTCACTGTCGAATTTTTTTTTTTCATGCCTGGGTGTGTGAAATATATAATATATTGAGAGAAAAAGAAATAATAATTGTCTCATCACACAAGACGCAGCGCGAATTTGTGCTTTTTCTTATTAAAAAAATATTATACATATACATACATATATATATATATATATATATATATATTTCCGTTAGTGATCTGCTTGCCTCTCTTCATTTTCTCATGAAAAATTCATTCGAGGGATTGTTTTTCTTCATTTTTTTTCATTATTCACATTTTTTTCGGTTTTTTTTCTTTTTTGTTTCTTACGAATCAATTTTTAAGGGTTTGGAAAAATATTTTTCTATTTTTTAAAATTGAATCGAAAAGAAAAATTTTTCTTGTTTTATTACTATTTAAATAAATAATAATTATTATTTTTGACAATTGTTATAAATAATTATTATTCTTAATAATAATTAGTATTTTTATAATTATTATAAATAATAATAATTAGTATTTTAAATAATAATAATTAGTATTATTATAATTATTATAAATAATTATTATTCTATATAATAATAATTATTATTCTAAATAATAATAATTAGTATTATTATAATTATTATAAATAATAATAATTATTATTATAAAATGAAAAAAATATTTTTTTCCCCTTCAAAATTGAGTCAAAATCAAAATTTTTTTTTTTAATTATTATTATTTTTAAAATAGTTGAGTCAAGTGAAACATTTTTTTTTTTTTTTTTTTCTATTGACAAATTGGAAATTGGAAAAATTTGTTTCAATTGACAAATTAATTGAATAAATTGGAAAAATTTTTATTTCAATTAACAAAAAGTTGAGTTACAATTTGGAAAAAAAAACATTTCTATTTTGAAAAATAGTCAATGGAAAATTAAAAATTAAATTTGGAAAAAAATATTAATTACAAAATACAATAAATTGTATTGTTCGAAAAAAAAATTTGTTTTTGTAATTAATAATAATAATAATAATTTAAATTTCCATATTCAGCACTAGTTAATAATGAAAATATTGAGAAAAATTACCTCCTTGAATAATTGAATAAAATTGAGTTTACACAATTTTTTTTCCCCCTTTTGCAAAAAAAAAGAAAATTCGTTTTTTCTTTGAAATTGAAAAATTCCGAATTAAATATTAAATAATATATTTTGTTAACATATATTTAATATAAAAATAACTGTTAAATTAAATACTATATTTTATATGTTAATTAATATTTAATTCTATTATTATTAATTTAATATTTAATTTAGCAATTAATTAAGTAATTAGTTAATTAATTAATTACAATACTTCTAGCAATTATTATTATTAATAATAATAAAAATAATTATTATTATTTATTCCAAAAGAAAATGTTAAATTAATAATTCGAATTTTTTTTTTAGAGAAAAAGAATTTTTTTTTGTGGGGAGGAAATTTTTTTTTTTTTCCAATGGGAAATGAAGGGAAAAATTAGCAATATTAATTATTAATTAAAAAAATAAAGCAAGCAACTTCCACAAAGATTGTAAGCAGCAGGCTGCAAATTATTAATTTAATAATAATAATAATTAACAAACCAGACAGTCTTTAATCGCTGGTTGAGTACGATCAAGTATTGTACGATACATTCCTTTGGCTATAAAAAAAAGAAAAAAAAATAATAATAACTAATTATTTAAGAGTTCTCGTGTGTCCTGCCTCTTTCGAAAAAAAATTAATTTTTTTCTTTTTTTTTTTTAATCGCGCTTTTAAAATTTCTCGTCATCATTTTTTTTTATCATTCTTCTTGTAATTCAATTTTTGTTTTTGTTTTTTTTTTTTGATTCGATAAATATTTTTTTTTGCTTTTGTTTCAAATTCGTAATTTTCATAGGAAAAATCGGAAATTTTAAATATGACAAATTTTCCCTTTTTTTAGAATTGCAATTTTGCGATTTTTTCTTTAATTTTATTATTATTATGATGTAATGTATAATTTATTATTATATATTATTTTAATATATAATATTAATTGTATATAATAATTGTTATTGTTATTATTAAGTATATAAAAATTAATAATTAATACAATAAATAATTTAATTTTAATTTTAATGAAATTTGTACGAAAAAAAATCGTATTTATACAAAAAAAAAAAAATTTGAATATTATTTCAAATTCCTTGATTAAAAATTAATTATATAAATTCAAATTTAAATTTACAATAATTTTAATTAAATAATAATAAATTTTTTATGAATTTGAAAAAAATTGACATTTTTTGAGAAAATCGCAAATTTGAAAATTGTAATTTAAAAAAATCAAAAACCACAATTAATTTTTTTTTTTTTTGTAAATTCATTCGAACTTTATTTCATATTTTCAAAACTCTTATGATCAAATTAAACACACAAAGAAGAAATTTATTTCTTCCCAAAAAAAAAAAAAATGGTTATAAAATGAAAACTAAG